GTTGTTAGGGCCACCAAGGATAATGAGTACTCTGACCTTTTCTATGGCATTCCCTGGTCCCAGGGAACACTTGGGTTCCTTGTCTCTGCTGAGATCAAGCTGATTCCCATCAAGGAGTACATGAAGCTCACCTACATTCCAGTGAAAGGGAGTCTGAAGGAAATCGCGCAGGCCTATGCTGATTCTTTCGCGCCAAGAGATGGTGACCCAGCAAAGGTCCCTGACTTTGTTGAAGGAATGGTGTACACAGAAAGCGAGGGTGTCATGATGACTGGTGTGTATGCTTCGAAAGAAGAGGCGAAGAAGAAGGGCAACAAGATCAACTGCGTGGGGTGGTGGTTTAAGCCCTGGTTCTACCAGCATGCTCAGACAGCGCTCAAGAGGGGCGAGTTTGTGGAGTACATCCCAACAAGAGAGTACTACCACCGCCACACCCGGTGCCTGTACTGGGAGGGAAAGCTGATCCTGCCATTCGGTGATCAGTTCTGGTTCAGGTTCCTGCTGGGTTGGCTCATGCCACCAAAGGTGTCTCTTCTGAAGGCGACTCAGGGTGAGGCTATCAGGAACTACTACCATGACAACCATGTGATCCAGGACATGCTGGTGCCGCTGTACAAGGTTGGAGATGCTCTCGAGTTTGTGCACCGCGAGATGGAGGTGTGTTTCTTGTTAATAGTAATGTGTCATATATATCTTTATTGACTGTCATTGTTGCTTGCACACCTGCTGCTGCTGTTTATGAGCAGTCCACTGCATAATAATAATGAGCATTTCTTGGAATTGATTGTTGCTAGGTGTATCCTCTGTGGCTGTGCCCTCACCGACTGTACAAGCTGCCCGTGAAGACGATGGTGTACCCTGAGCCTGGGTTCGAGCACCAGCACAGGCAGGGCGACACAAGCTACGCACAGATGTTCACGGACGTGGGCGTGTACTACACTCCTGCTGCGGTCCTAAGGGGAGAGGAGTTCAATGGCGCGGAGGCGGTGCACAGGCTGGAGCAGTGGCTGATCGAGAACCACAGCTACCAGCCACAGTACGCGGTGTCGGAACTGAATGAGAAGGACTTCTGGCGCATGTTCGACGCGTCCCACTATGAGCACTGCCGGCGCAAGTATGGGGCGGTGGGCACGTTCATGAGCGTGTACTACAAGTCGAAGAAGGGGCGCAAGACGGAGAAGGAGGTGCAGGAGGCGGAGGCGGCCATCCTGGAGCCGGCCTACGCGGACGAGGCCTAAGCCGAGCTGGGCTGGCGACCAACCATTTGGGTTTGGTTTTTCTCTGGTGCGATTGATGGTTTAGCATGAACCGTAATGGGGGGCAGCAGCGGCAGAGTTTGTTTACATAAGACTTTGAGATGATGCGATCCGGACGAGATGAGATGTCTCTCGTTTTGCTTAATTAATTAGAACTTGATGTAGTGTGTGTCTGTCCGTAGTACTCTTAAGCTCGTGGTCAGTCAGTGAGTTGTCGTTGATGCCCAGTGTTGGGGTTTATTTATCTTTTTGTCTAATGGAATTTCTCAGATTGATTCGGGACTTGCTACAAGGCTCTGCTCTTGTATGTGTGTACATGTGATTGCTAGCTTTAGCTATGATGTTTTTTTTAATGTTTTCGAGGCGCTGTTGCTGCGTCTTGATGCAGGAGCAGCGGTGAATTGGAGCTGCTGTTTTATTGAATGTTCTTTTGCTGTATTAACACAACTGGGAGTGGGGTAGATAACTGATGGAGCTGTTGCAGTTGCAGAATGAGGTAGCACTAGCAGATTGGAATGGGGAAGAGCCAGGCAGCCAGAAACCATGACGAGGGAGGCAGAGCATGTGATGTGGGCAGAAGCACGAGCACGGCACCATGGGGCTGGGCTGACAGGCACAGTGAGAAAAGAAAGCACGCAGACAGCACCAGCCACCAGTCCCCACAAGAGCAAAAAGCAAAGAAAGATGAATGCATATGCATGTGCAGTGCAGGCGTGCAGCAACTCTGCACTGCTCTCTGGGCTCGGTTAAGGTTCAGTCACTGGCTTTACCAGTGGGAATTTGGTGCTGGGATGAAAACGATACGATTGATATTATATTTGTTTTTATATTTTTGTCTGGATTCAGATTCGAATACGGATGGCGTCAACCATAGGTCTGTTCGCTTGAACTTATCAGCCGGCTTATCAGCTAGAATCTACAGTATTTTTCTCTCACAATAAAACAGTTTCAGCCGGATTATCAGCCGGCTTTAATACTAGCCGAACAGGCCCATGTCAGATAGGATACAACTGGATATCGACATCATAAATATGCGATTTGAGTTTGGGATACGGATACGGTATCGGATGTTGAATATTCGGACTCGGATACTGATATATTTAAATTTCTCTAAACAAATTCGGTCTCGAATACGGTCGGAAATTACCCGTACCATTTTCACCCGTAGTGCCGAGCAAGATGAGACTTTTTTAAGGATCAGCCAGATGAAAGAGATCACTTTTAAGGAACACTCGGTAGGAATTCAGATGCTCAGCCCAATAAGAGGTTAGCCTTCTGTGTTTGTTAAACTGTAAAAAAATTTAAAACCAGCTTGATTGTTTTGTTCCTCTGATCTGCAAGATTGTATATACAAGTGCGTGCAAGGCATCCGATTCCCATCCGTCCGTCGTCTACTGCTATATGATATCAGTAAGTTTATCACGGACTGCCGGCCGGGCTGACTGACTCTACTCCACCACGCATCAACTGAATTTTGTACAGCATAGCATAGGTTTTGTTTGGATCCATTAACTTCTAATAACTAGCTATTAGTGCTGTTAGCTGGTTTGATTCAACCAGTAAGATAGTTGTTAGTTGGATATTAGCTAACAATTAGCTTGACCCGTTTGAATTTAAAGAAGCTAATTATTAGCAGCTAACTATTAGCTCCATGGATATAAACAGGATCGTAGTACAGCATGGCATGCTATAAACATCCGTACATGTAACATGATAGTAATACATGCATAATACTTACATACAGTAATTCATATTCTAGAAGCTGGTTGATGTGCCGTGATGCATCTTCACTTGTTGGCTTGGCTACCCTTTCTTCTTCTTCATACTGCTGCTTGCTCAGCTCTACTCCCATAGGCCATTGCCATGGCTATCAAGCAACTTTATTGGGGGAAAAGTTACAATATAGTGTAGCAAATGCAAATGAAAAGCTCTCCAATCCTTTGCTTTGCTGTCATTGGGTGGGGACGCCACGGGCAGTCGGCACCAACTACACCGCACCGCGCCTGCACCGCCCAGTTATTATTTACTGCTACTTGGCTGCTGCTGCTTCTTTCTCCGTTCCACTCAACTCCTCGTATATTTGGGCCTTGTTTAGATTGAAAAAAATTTCAACCCGATAAATAGTAGCACTTTCATCTTATTTGGTAAATATTGTCCAATCGTGGACCAACTAAGCTCAAAAGATTTATCTCGTGATTTCCAACTAAACTGTGTAATTAGTTATTTTTTTTACCTACATTTAATACTCCATACAAACGGCTAAAAATTGATGTGATGGAGAGAGAGTGAAAAAACTTAGAATTTTGAGGGTATCTAAACAAGGCCTTGCATCACTGCCTAGATCGTTTCGTTTCATTTCATCAGCTTGCTCGTCTCTGCCCCTGCACTGCCGATTATAAATAATAAAGAAAGCCAGCCAAGGAGCCAGACAGACTCGGCCTGCTTCAGGAAGGAAGGAAAGGAGATCTCCACCCCACTTCACTCAACAAGAACCCAGCCAGCCAGACCTCCCTTGCCAATCCATCCCATCCATAGGCGACTCCTTCCTTCCCTTCATTCCTTGAGATGATGAAGCAGCATCAGCAGCTCCTCCTCCTTTCTCTAATGTTTCTCGTTGCTGTCGCAGCAGCCGCTGTTGCTGCCGATCCACAGCCACTGCCACAACAGGTATGTCTACTCCTCTTCTCTTCTGCATCATCACTGAATCAGCTGTGGTACTCCTTCCTCTCATGAAGATTGAAGAAGCAGCAGCATCAGGTCATCTGATTTCTGAATAATGAGCACATCAACATGGTCCGTGTGTCCATGCAGGTGCAGCACCAGCAGCAGCAACCACAGATGAGGATGAGGATGAGCAGCAGGGCCAGATCCCTGCTTCAGGCGCCAAAACCAGGTACTGTACTGTACATAACACGCAAGCGTGGCGCCTCGTACATACAGCATCATGATAGCTACACAGACAGGCTGCAGCAGTCTCATTCATGCCTGTTTCTGTTTCTGTTTCTGTTTTGCATTGCATGCAGACTGCCCGTCCAGCTGCTCCGTTCGCTGCGGCAACAACTGGAACAACGAGATGTGCAACAAGATGTGCAACGTCTGCTGCAACAAGTGCGGCTGCGTGCCACCGGGGACCGGGCAGGAAACCCGCCACCTTTGCCCCTGCTACGACACCATGGTCAATCCACACAATCCACACAAACTCAAGTGCCCGTGATCTGGAGAGCTTCTTCATGCCATGCATGCGTGCTCTTTGTAATGCAACCAGTCCATGAATGAAATCCATATATATGCGGAGTCACTTGAATAAAACCAACAAGCATTATATATGCAGAGTACTCATATGCATGGACTCTACTCATCATGTTCCTTCAGCTATTGATAAGCAAACAGCTACCCTTTTTCCATTTCGTAATTCTCCACACTCCATCAGTGTCACGGTTGCAGCATAAGCTAAGGTAGCCAACAGTGTCAACACACACACATATATATACATAAGAACACTGAAACTAAATCCGATAAACCTCACTCGCTCTGCTGCTATCGCTCCAGCATTTCAATGGTGAATTGATATTATGATAATATACAAGGTAAGCAGGTTACACATGGTAGACCAGCACTTCCAAAAGCTAGCGCTTCCAAAACCTAGACAACGTAGGTACACATCAGTTCTAGTGGTTGCTACTGTCATTTTCATCGGCGCCAGGAACCTCGACACCATGATATGATATCGACCTCCAGCATCCATCAGCTCCGGGAGAGGAAGAACTCGAAGTCTGGGTGCCTGTTTCTACTCATCTGCCCATTCTTCAGCACGCTGGCCCTGGACATCACCGCCGCAGACTCATTCAGCGTGCACAATCTCTCCTTCAGAATCTGGGATGCTTCACTGGACTGCGGCTCTGCTGACACGGCACCTTCAGAATCGGATTTCCTCATCTCAAACCACCACTCTGCCTGCATTACCAGAGAGTTAAACGCATTGATCTACTAGAGAACTAACCAACAATCCACAATAAATATGAAGCAGCCTACTGCTACTTTGCCACTTTAAGCACACCCACATGGCCAGGACTACTTTCGCAACATTGGCCTGGGACCCAAAAACCCAACAATCCACATGGCCATGACCCAGAAAGTCCAGAACCACAGTCCAACATTTGACCTGGTGCCAAAAGACCTCCAGCTTTCACTAACCCCAGAAGCCCTTTGATTTTCTTGGTCCTTTCGGAACACTAATTGAGCAGGCAAAATAGCATTTATAAAGCAGTAAAGGTTCAAGATGTCTAGCAGACTTTCTGGGAAAACATATGATTTTGGAATGGCCAAGTAGGTACCACATTTAGTTTTTTCAAAACCACCAACCATTTTCAATATGGCCATCTGGTAAGAGGTATGTTATGCAACACAAATCAAACCGTATTCATCTCAGGAAACAGAAACATAAAACTTGGAAAACGTCAAATCATGTAAGAACAAATATTTTGTTTCAGGCCTAAAGTTGTACCACCAATTTGTGCCATTTTCAGTTACCATCTATGTATCATGTGGTATGTTAGTCCTTTACCTTGGCATTGTAAGACTGCAGGCCTATGACTGGCAAAACAACAGCCCCGTCTGCTGAGCTGCTCTGATGAATCCAGTGCCCAAGAGAATGATATGTCAAGAATGCGGCCTGAAATTTTCCATCAGGTATCCGGTATATGGGATACCATGCAACACAATACCTGAAATTCAAGAGAGATCTGTTTTCAACACAAGACACCCCACAAGCTTTTACAAATCCAGATACAAGTATATTGCTAAATGATAATGTCACCAATAAAAGAGGAGAGCATAGAACAGACCAAGAGGCTGGATGGAGATCATGCAGGCTGACCTCCAAATTCTTTGGGTCTCCAGATATTTGGCATTTCGATGGTTTCACACCAGCAATCAGCTCATTTACCCTAGTACGAGAGCAACGAGTATTCTATAAGAACATTTCAAAGAACAAGTACCTGTTTCTCTCAATGTACAAGAATGAACCACAGCTTCAAAATCAGAAACCATTACAAGGAATGTCAAGTCCAAAAACATGGGGGCAAAGTGAAAATGGCATTGGGTATGAGTCACCATGTTTACAAAACAAGACTACGACCATCATAACATGTAAAAGACTAAGAATAGGCACACAGGCACCCTGTTATGTAATTAGACTCACTTGTCAAATAACTGTTGCCGCGAGTATGGTTGTTCAGATTCAAAAAATTCAAATATCAGCTCCCCATCTGCTGTCTGCTGATCATCTTCAGTATGCAGAGTAGATGATTTGTTTACTGGATTAGATTGTTTTGGAAAAAGCTTTGCAAATATTGGGGGCAGGTTCAGGTTTGGAGATGTTTCACATGTCACATTCCTATGGATTGACTCCTTATCAATGCTTCCACCACTGGTTCTTTTAGGTTGACTGAAGAGTTGAACAGCAGATAGATATGGTACAAAATACGTTGTAAACTGACAATGACTATTCCACAAGCCTTTTGACCTCCGGAGATCTTGTGCCTTTACATCCAAACCATAGCAGCTAGGCTCTTCGTACCACTGCCAGACAGTTCTTAGAGTGATATCTGGAGTCTGATGTAAACATAAGCCATCCTTCACACATTCTTGCAGGTAAGATTTACAGCCAGCAGGGCAAGGGCTGCAGTGCACAATTGGAGAAGCAGAGTAAACAAAATTTTCCAAATCAGCAATAGGCCTACCACCAATGCGAAGTTGGATATCTTCGACTTGCTGCTGTGCTGTGTAAACATAACTGATAGCCTCTTTCATCTTGCTGTAATCGGTCTCAGTTGCATTATCTGCTTGGAATTTCAAATCAACATGTTCAGATGAGTTCAGTTTATAAGTCCTTTCACTAGGTAAGTTGCTGTCCTCACCATTAGCTGAGACATCCAAATAGATCCCATTGCAAGTTTCCTTCTTATCAACAGGAATCCACTTCTGTGACAAGTGTCCAGCACCAGAATACCACTTACAGCATTCTTGAGAATTATTCTCTGTTAGTAACTTCACACATCGAGCTTCCTTTGTTTCTGCAACAAAAGGATCAGTGCACAGGTTCTTGGAGCTCCGACTGGTGGATACACCCTTGTTTTCAGGACATAAAGAGTGAGGATCTGATACGTGGGAATCATCAGAAGCAGCTTGTGGGGCCAAATCTGGAACCAAGTTGCAAGATACTGATGCTGCTATCTCAATACCAGGTTGTGAACCCTCATTTCCCTCAGTTGGGTAGTTGCTGCCAACTCCAGTTAGACCAACTTCATCAGCTGAACTTGAATACGAGGTTGATCTATCACTGGTGTTCTTGGCATGAACTAGCACCAACATAGGCAATTCTTCTTGCTGCAAGTAATCCTTTGGCACCTTGGGGATACCAATCCTAGGAGCATAGTAGTTTTTCGATGACTGAGAACCTTGTTTCGAAGAAGAGCTTCTTTGCTGGCGTAGAAAGGGTGCCTGCTTCTTGTAGACAGGTCCAGAAAATGTATGGCAGGAGTTCAATGCATCTTCTTCTTTGGTAGGCTCCAGTTCAACTGTCCCATTTGAGGAATCCTGTTTGCACATTTTCCTATTCTGATTACATTTTGCCCGAATTCTTGTTGGATCTTCCTGTACACCCTTCTTACCAACTTCATGTGCACCCTTATCATGAATAGATGAATTGCTCAAATGCCCTGCTTTAGATATCATCTTGTCATTTCTTTCTACCTTCTGCCACACTGCTGAACTATCTTTTCCATTGTTCTTGTGCCTATTGGAACCTCTCACTCTGTTAGACACAGTCAAATCAATGTAGCTTGGTGTTTTACTTGATTTTATGTTCCTCCTCCCTGAACTAAATTGAAGAGAGGCCTTGCTGCTGCATGCCTGACTGCTGCACTGAACCCTTTCAGTATTGCTACAACTATCAGTAACATCCTTAGAGTATGATCTGATTCCTAGATGATCATTTGTATCTTCAGCATGAGTAGCACTAAGATGTGACCCTATGAACTGGCATTCCACCCTCATATTGCTCAGCCCTGTGGAGGCCCCTGGTTTTGAATGGTCATGTCCATTTTCATCTTTGATGGTAGCCTCAACATCAACACTGTAGTTCCCACTGTTGTCATTGTTCCACCTACTAAAGGTGGAATCCGTGGTTGCATGACTGGGGTTATAAACATGGGCACATGTTAACTTCTGGTAGCTATAGCTTTCTTCTCCCAAGCCATGTTCAGTGAAAGTGGATCCATCAAATTCTGAAGAATTGATCGTATTTGATTCATCATTCAAGTAAGGAGCACAACTGGAGCTTAATCTCCCTCCTGCGACATTATAAGATGAACCAGCACATCCAGAGCCATCCATCTCATCAGTTCCCAATGTAGCTAAATTCAACATAATACCACATTTCACATAGTCCTTGTTGTACTGACCATCATTTTTAACCAACGAGCTAGCAGAGGGTGTGGTCTCTGACAACTTATCAACCAGTAAATTGGTCGGAACTACCTCCACAGGAGAAGCACCATAAGTACTCTCTTCAAAAGTGGTTTCTGATGCCAAATTCAGCCTTTTGCGGATTGTTCGCTTGCACTGTTTTCCTCTCTTTCTATAACTCCTTTTTGAAAGCTTGTCATCATTGTGCAAAATATCAGAATCAGATCTCAGACTCAGAGTAGTAGCGACAGGCCTGGAGTACTTTGCAACTACATGGCAGGGAGGGACTGCCGTCGATGAATTACAAACGTTTTTCCTTTGCCGAGATTGCCTTAAGGTGCTTCCTCCATGTGTGTTTCCATTGGAAACTGGTTTAGAAGAATCAACCTGATCATGCATGTTCCTTTCATTCGGCTGGCCTAAGCAACACAGTATTCTTGGCTGTGCAGATAATAGCTCAAGGCACTCTGTACCAAGAGCTCCTGATGACGAGATTACCTTGTTGACCTCTTGAGTGACAGACAAAAATGGTGCCTGTTTCCAATCTGAATCATGCCCAAGCGGAAGTGTAGCTGATGAGGTGTCACTGCCACACAAAAACACATTAAACTGGTAGCTTTCCCAAAAAAATAGAAGAACAGATGAGATTCAAGGTGTGTGGCTATGCTGGCTGGTGATATTGTACTGTGAAAATGCTACATAATGAAAATGGTGGTAGACTAATCGACAAGTATAATAAGGCAATAAACAAGAGATACAGAGGATTAGGTGACATTAGATTGGACCTTTTAGTGACAAAAATTCAGTACAAATGTGTTTTAGTTATTCCACCCCTTTCTGTTGCGCAACCAAGTGCAAGAAACTTATTAGCAAATCAAGATTTAACCTCCACAATTGTCAAACAATGGCAGCAAACTTCAAGGCAGGTTTGATTGTGTGGATGGGTAGCTTAAGCATGTTTTATATATGCCAGCAACAGTAAGATCGACTAGATCTTTCCTGTTGACCAACCCTTTGTCTCTTCATTTTTATGATCCAATTAAGGTGTTCACTTTGTCTACAATTTCTTGTTACATATTATACACATCAGCAGCAGACCACATACACAAAGTCCACCAGTGATTGTTGGTAATGAAAGCAAGTGGCAATAGTCAATTACCTGTTCTCAGGACAAACAGCAACAGTTTTTTGTATCAGATGGCCCTGATGACAATATAAAACGCCAAATGAGTACAGGCAAAGCCAGGGAATAAATGGCATGAAAGCACAAGAGAACGCTCACTCATATTCATATAGTGCATAATACATACCTTTGAAAAGCGTCTTCCAATATTTTGGTCAAATGATCTGCTGCACTGGATATGTGACGTGGTCTGTAACCTTGTGTCGATTACTTCAAGTGCACACGGCATTTCTTGGAGAGCCTGTAATCACATGAGGATTTAATGCCATACGCTTATCTTATTCCAAGATGATCTAACATTGCAGGTGGATTCACCATGCATTTAAATTTATTAAATCAATAAATAAGCAAAAGCACAGCACTCAGGAAGTAAATGCATTCCACAAAAACTGTAGGGTATGTTATTTAGTTGGTGGATGAGACTGGCAACTATATAACGCCTGTGAGGTGGTGGCATTGACACATAGTGAAACTAGAACATGACGTTGGTACGTTGGCGTAGCCTTTAGCATGATGTTTCTATTGCAATTTAAAAGTTTCCGTCAGGTAGCAGGAGGGATATTTGAGGGTAGTGACTCATGGAGAAAACCATCCTCATAGTTATAAATAATACACATTTATACAGGAACAAACATCATCATGTGTGCTGGAAAGCTGGGAACAAATTGGCATGCTCCTATAAGGCTATGAGAGCATAGCATAGAATCATAAGTGAGTGCAAGCAAACAGGTCCATCATGCAATGCCCAGTCCATACTTAAACAGAGTCTAACAAAGCAAGTCAGATCGCAATAAGCTGGAGCATGAAGAAGCACCATAGTACTAGTATAGAGTTTAATCTGAAAACACCCCACGTGAAATCAAACTAGACAGGACACCTGTGGATGTGGATGCATCTGTCTGCTCCTGAACGGAGCTTAGGTCCTCAGTATAGTACTAATAAGCAGGCAATCATATCCTATAAAAGTGAAGAAGGTACACCGTACACAAGATTGTAGGGGCAGTGTGAGGGCGGCGTATCACGGAGATTGCGGATAATCTGAAACGCCCCACACCCCACCCCCACCCCCACCCTACAGGACGCAAAGGGGAAAAGAAAAACGATGGAAATAATTTTGTGACGAAAAGGTAAAAGGAACCTCAGCGATTCATCGCGATCGCCGGAATCGGTTGCGGAATCGAAGCGGAAGGGGGACAAAAACGGCGGAAATCCCTAGAGAGGGTTAGGATTTACAGTCCTATACGATGCATGCAATCTAATCTAAGAGCGGAAAAAAAATTAGGGGGCTTTTTTTATCGGTAGTACAGAAAGAAAATGACGAAGAATCCGGTGGAGAGCGGACAGCGAAACGCGGCAGCGAATTTGGGGTGGGGGGCCGAAAAAAGCCGGCGTCTCGCTAAAAACAGGGGTCACACAGCGCACGCTCTCCTCTCACAAAATGAATTAGAAGAAAAAAAAAAAAAGAGCACGCTTATAGTTAAGAAGACTAAGAGTCGGTTTGCTTACTCCAAATAGTGCGGGGCGGCGGGCGCGGGGGTCTCCTCCTGCGCCGGCCCCCGATCCTCCTACTCCACCAAACCGAATCGAATGGAATCCTCGTCTAGAATTGCAAGGGGAGGGAATCGGAAGTTGGAGAGATGATTGATGAGAGGAATGGAATGGGGGGTGGCTTCCCTCCCAAGTCCCAACCACGAGACGAGATGCGATGCAGAGGAAGGATCGATCGATGATGATGGGAGTGGAGTGACTGACCTTTTGGCTCCCGAGACGACGACGACGAAAGCAAATGCCGAACGAGGAAGGAAGGAAGCCCCAATGGAATGGGATTGCTTGCTGGATCGCGAGCGAACGAGCGTGAAATGTGTGTGTGCCTTGTTTGGAACTTTGGATCTGGGGCGTCCTCTGTTGTGTCTTCTCTTGTACTGCCGTTGCCGCTGCTGCTGCTCTCTAGTCGTCTCACCACGAGGGAGGGAGGGAGGGAGGGAGAGGGAGGGACGGGGCTGCCCAGGGGAGGGGGAGGGGACGCCTAGCGGAATTCCTTTTTTCCGCCTCCCCGCCTTATCCGATCCCAGCAGAGTATCCATCCATCCTCCTCCGTCCCTGCGCTTGCTTTCCTTTTTTTCCCCTTTCAAAAAGATTACCATTACAATTCTAAGATGTTTGAGATGTATCATTAAAATTCGTCTATTTTGAGATTTATTATTAGAATTCATCGTTTCACTGAGTTTCGACATTTTCTACGTCTTCCAGCTGCTTGAGCCCACTGGCAGTCGTATGCACACTGTGCTCTTTTTTCTGTATGGACGATTTTGCCCCCGTCCGAAGATGAAAGAGGCCCGCGTTGCGCCCGTGGCCCCATCTCTCAGTCCATTTTCCTCCTCGCGCTCACTCTGTCTCTCACTCGTCCTCCCGACGCAGCGACGGCGGGGGAACCCTAACCCTAGCCGTCGGCGTCCTAGAGCCCGCGCCCGCGTCCGAGTCAGCTGCCGCCGCCGGCCAACTCCACTGCCGCCCGCGCCCGAGCTATACTCCCGTGGCCCCGTCTCTTGGTCTGTAGGCTCTGCTCCGTGGCTGCGCCTAGCTTTTGAAGCCATGGCCGGGCAGTGGGCTGGAAGCCCGATGAACGGGCAGCGGCAGAAGGGAGTGCCCTTATTGCCATGTTCCTTTGGTCCAGATCCAGAGCAAGCAGCCGGCGACAAAGGGTCAGTGGTTTCTCACGTGCCCGTACAACATTAAGGTTAGGATTCTTGACATTGTTGACCTCACTGTGTCTCTTGATGCTACTCTGATTGATGCTTTTTGTGTGCAGGGTGATCATACTACCTGCGGCTTCATCTGCTCTGAGTTGCAGATTGAGGCCTTGGAAGCAAGGGAAAGCCAGTGGCAGACTGGTAAGGAGACATCAGCGGACTGTTACGCCGTGTTGAAGGAAGAATTGCAAGAGTTGAAGCAAACTGTGGATAGTGTAGTAGCTGATCTGTGGAAACTGAAGGTCCAACCCGCTGGACACGAAGAAATGTCATATTGTGCTTGATTGTTCAGTTGTATCGCCAGATTTTTTGGCTTTGTAGGTGTCCTGATTGGTGCATTTGTTGTTGCTGTCATGTGGAAGTGAATAGCTAGAATGTGTGTTAGTCAGCTAATGTAAGTGTGGGTTGGTTGTGTTGGAGCTGTGGCTCCCTGTGTTCTTTTGTGTACTGATGAGGTCCAAACCTTCTGATTAAGTTACAAATCTGTGGTTAGCTTGCAGTGAGCTCAACTTGATCTGTGGTAGCTTAACTTGATCTGTGGTCGCCATGTTTGAGCAAATTGGGGTTCTGATTCTGTCCAAGTGCTTATTCACAGTACTATAGCACTTTGCAAATGATTTGGACACTACAAAAGGACTTTTGTGTGGATTTGTAGCAGATTGGGGTTTTTGATTTATCTGCATGTTCTTGAGTAGAATATCGATAAAATCTAGGAGAACAAATGGAAGGAACCATAAATTCATCATCATTGAAAAGCTGAGACATCAGAATGGCCAACTGCCATCACCACATCCTCCAACTCTGCTTCCTCACTACCAGTGTCCTGATCAGTTTCTTTCAAAGCATCTAACAATTGTTCAACTACATGTATGGGAACTTGTGCTGGGCATTTGTGATTTTTGTCCCATTTGCCACCACATTTGAAACCATAAATTCATCGCGTGGACTGTGTAAGGCAATCACTGATCTAATCTCCTCCTTGAGCCTAGCTACAAACTGAGTCACGAAATAGGTGTCATCATAACCACTATTGTACAAGAGAATGCCCTGAGACAGCTTCTCAAACTCCATCTGATAATCCCAATAGAACCTGTCTGCTTCAGAGCATCAAACCATTTGAGCAACAATTGATACTGATCTTTGTCAAAACAGTTCATCACCAACTCACAAAGCCGATCCCAATCCAGCACACCATGTCTTGGCCCTCCATGCAAACTGGTAGATAGTACTTTCAAAGCATCCAGCAACTTTCATTTAAAACTAGATTAGAGGTGAGAAATGGGGTAATTGATGAACTGTTAGATGCAGATAAACAGAAGACTCGATGCAACAGCTCACTCACTAGCTACTCAAGCATTCCCAGTTCAGGTGCTGAAACAATGATCATGTTACCCTTCCAGTTGCCCCACAGGACTCAGCACCAAGACCAGTTCAACACTTAAACCCAACAAATGCACTTAAACCCAGTTCAACATAACAGCATACCAGGTTCAGCTGTTATTCTTACAACCATACAAGGTTCCAGCATACCAGGTTCACAACCATACATGGTTCTAGCATTCCAACTACAAGGTTACACAAAAGCATATCATAAACTAGGGTACCCCATAAACTACAACAAGAGCGTATCATAAGCTGCTGACAAGCTCTAGTCTTCATAGACTAGCCTCCTAAGGCTACTAACAATAGTAGTAGGTGGACCGGCTGTTGCCTTCTTGAGCTTTCTTCTTGATGGGTGTCTTCTTCTTTATTGTTGTGACCTTCTTCAGCTTCTTCTGTTTCTTGCCTTGGGAGGGACCAGCTTCATTTGTTGGAGCTTGTTTCCTACATTTTAAAGGTGATATTACAAATTGTGAAGTGAAAACAAGACAAATTTAGTGCACAGAAACATACCTTTTGTTAGCCTTGTTCCTTGGTGGAGCTCTCTCACCATCTTCTCCAATCTCTACCTCTTTGCAAGTTTTTGAAAAGTGGCCAAAATCTCCACATCTCCTACATTTAACCTTCTTTTTGGATGCCCTTTTCTCCAAGCAACCTCTATGCCTTTGAACCTTTGGTCTTCCTGCTCCTCTGCCTAGCAACGGTGGAAACACTTTGAATCCAAGTTCCACAACAGGCCATTGTGATCTATCTGGGTAGGTTCAATTCTGTCCTCATAGGTTGCCTTGAACCTAGCCACTAAGTAATACTCATGGACAAAATCTTCAATTTTGACCCCTCTGTTGGACAGAATCCATGCCAAAGCATGTTTGCAGGGCTTCCCTGTCAACTGCCACTGCCTGCAGGAGCATTTATGGTTCTGCAAGTCAACTATTTGTCTTTTCTGATTGTTCCACTCATCCAAGATGGTCACTTCTGCAATATCAACATCACTAACTGATACCTTGACCACTTTGAGGTTATTGCTGATCAAGTTGAGCTCCTTCATCACATTTGGGAGTATTCCATTTGTCCACTGCCTAGCAAGCATCTTCCTAGT